CTGAGGCAGGAGAATGGCATAAACCCGGGAGGCGGAGCTTGCAGTGAGCTGAGATCCGGCCACTGCACTCCAGCCCCGGCGACAGAGCGAGACTCCGTCTCAAAAAAATAATAATAATAATAATAACAGCAAACACCTGACTCAGGCTTACTCTATGAATATTAGTTTAACGTTCACAGTAATCCCTGGTGGCAGATGTTATTACCCTATTTTATGGATGAGAAAACCGAGGCCCAGAGAAGTGATCTCAAATTCAAAGTCACACAGCTGAGAAGTGTAAGAGGTGGGATTGGAACCCATGCAGTCGATTTCACGAAGTTGCAGAGTGATTTCTTTTTTCTTTTTTCTGTGACGGAGTTTCGCACTTGTAGCCCAGGCTGGAGTGCAATGGCACAATATCAGCTCACTGCAACATCCACCTCCCAGATTCAAGTGATCCTCCTGCCTCAGCTTCCCAAGTAGCTGGGATTATAGGCGCCCGCCACCACGCCCAGCTAATTTTTGTATTTTTAGTAGAGATGGGGTTTCACCATGTTGGCCAGGCTGGTCTCGAACTCCTGACTTCAGGTGATCCACCCGCCTCAGCCTCCCAAAGTGCTGGGATTACAGGCATAAGCCACTGCGCCCGGCTTTCATTGCCTCTTGAAAAGAGCTTGCCTTGTTTCTCCTGTAGAAATTCCTTGAGCTCATAGGCATCACCCAGGGTCAGATGACAGTTCTGAGACTCACCGAGTTGCTGGAACGAGGGGAGAGGCTGCCACGACCCGACAAATGTCCCTGTGAGGTGAGACTTCCTTTGTCTTTCCCTGACCCCACCATCCTGCTGTGGAGAGGGCAGCCCCCACCAGCCCTAGTTTTTCCTTCTAGGTCTATCATCTCATGAAGAACTGCTGGGAGACAGAGGCGTCCTTCCGCCCAACTTTCGAGAACCTCATACCCATCCTGAAGACAGTCCATGAGAAGTACCAAGGCCAGGCCCCTTCCGTGTTCAGTGTGTGCTGAGGCACAATGGCAGCCCTGCCTGGGAGGATTGAACCAGGCAGTGGCTGCAGACGGGGCCTTCTGCTTCCTGCCCCAGGATGAAACCAAGAGGGAGACGTCAACCTCACCTACACCCTGTGCCTTACTCCTGTCTGGAGACCCCACCTTTGTGAACTTACTTTTCTTCCATGGCCGTGAACCTGACCATGATTTTGAAGGACCCACGATGTGTAGGGTCACTAATCCGGCCCTTGAACCCCCAGCTTCCAAACTTGAGGCCCACCATTTCCACCATCTGGTAATAAACTCCTATTTCCTCTGCTGGAGCCCGTGACTCTTGGAGCCCTCTTTCAGAAAGGTGGGTTAGCTGGGGATCTGGTCTCCTGTGGACAGCAGCTAGCATGAGACAGCGCAGAGGTAGCTAGATTCAACTATTTAACATTTTTATTTTTTTGGATAGGGTCTGGTTCTGTCACCCAGGCTGGAGTGCAGTGGCTCAATCTCAGCTCACTGCAACCTCCACCTCTTGGGCTCAAGTGATCCTCTGGCCTCAACCTCCCCAGTAGCTGGGACCACAGGCCTGCATCACCACACCAGGCTAATTGTTTTTTTTGGTACTTTTTGTAGAGACTGCGATTTGCTATGTTGTCCAGGCTGATCTCAAAATCCTGAGCTCAATCAATGCATCCATCTTGGTGTCTCAAAGCTCTAGGATTACATGGTGGTGAGCCACCACACCAGGCCTCAACTTTTTTTTTTTTTTTTTTTTGAGATGGAGTCTTTTTTTGTTTTCAGATGGAGTCTCCCTTTGTCGCCCAGGCTGGAGTGCACTGGCGCGATCTTGGCTCACTGCAACCTCCGCCTCCCGGGTTCAAGCAATTTTCCTGCCTTCCTGAGTAGCTGGGATTACAGGCATGTGCCACCACACCCAGCTAATTTTTTTGTTTTTGTTTTTGTTTATGTTTCGAGACGGAGTCTTACTCTGTCACCCAGGCTGGAGTGCAGTGGCGTGATCTCGGCTCACTGCAAGCCCCGCCTCCCAGGTTCATGCCATTCTCCTGCCTCAGCCTCCCGAGTAGCTGGGACTACAGGTGACCGCCATCATGCCCGGCTAAATTTTGGTATTTTTAGTTGAGATGAGGTTTCCCATGTTGGCCAGGCTGGTCTTGAACTCCTGACCTC